GGGGGCAGCGAGAACGGAGGCGGGCGGGGCAGCTCGCACTTCTGCTTGTCCTCCCAGGACTTCAGGGTGTTCTCAAAGGCCTAGGATGAAGATGGAAAGCCCAGATTATGCTGCACTGGGAGGGCAGGAGGGGCAGAGAGGGGTGGCAGGAGAGAGGAGCAGAGGGAGAGAGAGGCAGAGAGGTAGGAAGGGAGGGGGAGAGAGACGGGAAGGAGGGGGGCGGGGGGCACTGGAACAGGAGCACGCTTCCATGACAGACACCAGGGAACACCAGCAAAGCAAGAGCTGGGAAAGGGGGGACACAGGCGTTTCTGTTTGTTTCTGTTTTAAATGTCACAGAGAGGCAATGGTCCTAGAAATAACTGTTTGGCTGGTTTAAGATTTATGTGGTGTGGGGACCAGCAGCTGGCACAATGGCTATTCGCTGGACTCCCATGTAGTCAACCGCAGTTGAAGTCCCAGACCCGGTGGCTTAAACTCACACCAGGCGTGTGCGTGCGTGCCCAAGTTCCCGAGAGGAGAATGGAGGAGAAGGGATTGTAGTGTGGCCATCCCCCTGGGGGGTGATTTCTCACTTTCTGTCTCCCTGTCTCTCTCTCTCTGGTGAACGCATGCACCATATAGCAAAAAAAAAAAAATGTATGTGGTTTGTCTGTGTGCACGTGTGCATGTGTGCACTTAAACACCAGCAGGAAACATGAAAAACGGGCCAACCGTTGACACAGAGGCCGAGGCCCTGGGTCCACGGCCACCTGTGCAGCTCCCGTGCTGTTCCTCGTGACGAGGGAAACGCTCCAGGAGTGTGCACGCCCGCAGTCCCAAGCGGAGAAAGAAGGGACAGCGGTGTGGCCGTTCCCCAGGGACGCTTCCTCAGCCCCCCAGCAGACACCAGCACAGACAGGCCCGCCAGCCACACCTTACCCTGTCCCTGGTCAGCGTCTGTGCGCGGTTCTTGTGGACGATGCGGATGTACCCCGGGGGCTGGACCCAGGCCTCTCCGTCCACCTGCACAGGAACGCCCTCGTCCCCCAGGATGGAGATCCTCACCGTGCGACACTGCAGACAATGATGGCACCTTGACTGCACGAAACCGTCGGGGTTCTCGAGCACCTTATGCACCACGGTAGCCTCCTGGCTCCCCAGCTGCCCACCGCGGGAGGCTGGGCTGACACGTAGGGGCCTCGGCCAATAGCGTGGCTCCCGGAGCGGCTGAGGCCCGCACAGCCACGGAGCCCAAGGCCTGCTTGACAAGCCCTCACAGCTCAGATACAGTGTCCAGTGCCCGAGCTTGGGCAGGCGTGGGCAAGGCATGACCACCACAAGCTCCGAGGCCACACCCTCTGCAGACAACCAGGACAGACAAAGGTCCAGCACATGGACGAGGGTGCCCTGTTTCTCCAGTTAACACTGCCACAGTTCAAAGGTGAATAATCACCCACTGCTGGGCAGACAGGGCAGGAGAGCCAGCAGCCTAGGGTCAGGCCAGAGGGGTCACAGCACCGCACCCGCCGTCTTGTACAGAGCCGGCCCCGCAGGCTCAGCGCCTGCCCAGCCCCGTGGTCAGCGACAGGAGCCCTGCCTGCCTCCCCTCCCACCAACAGGCAAGACCACATGCCTCTAACACTCAGGGCCCTTGCCCCCACCAGCTGCGGTAGGGAAGTCAAGGCAAGTGGGCTCAGGCCGGGCTCAGGCCACCAAAGGGCTTTCCACACGCAGCTGTGGAGGGCGGCGGCCAGCAGGGGCCTCCTCACGTCCAGGGGTCGTGAGCGAAGCTGGCGCGCTCTCGGCCAGCGGGCCCCGGGGGACGGGGGCGGCTCTGCCGCCCGGCCATTACCTGTGCGATGCGGTGGTGCTGCAGCTTGATCACGCGGGACACGGCCATCTGCATGCTGCCGAACACCGCCACCACCTCCAGGATCTTGTCGTCAAACGACGGGGCCGCGAAAGTCTGAAAGGTGGTGGGAGCTGACCCAGGGCCGTGGGTCCCCCACACTCGCACGCTCACTCCAGAACGGGACTCAGCGAGACAGGCTGGCTCCCAAGGAGTGGGTGCAGCTGCCGCCCCAGGGAGCACATGCCCAGGGGCTGTCGCACTCCCCCCCAGGGACGGTCTCAGATCTGCCACTTCCTGGCCGTGACTGGGCAGGGCTCTTCCCGCCTCTCTTCCTCAGTCCCCCTGCCCGCTGGGGGTGGTACTGGTTGGGTCCTCCAAGGGCCGCTATGAGGACTGTATGGGCTCACATGGCAGGGCGCCCCGGGCAGCATGGCCACGGAACGTGCGTGACACCTGAGGGCAGTTCTCATGCGCAAACCCGTCAGCACCTCCCACAGCCCTGAGCACAGCGTCCACACCTCCTGACTTCCACATCCTAACAAGATCCCTGCGATCGGGAACCTTCCTCCATACACCCTGAGCCTGGGCATTCTGTTCCCTGCCTAGAACAGCCACTCCTCTTCCTCGCTGGGCCAGCCCCAGCCTTCGTCAGCCTTCGCTGGCCCCTTGCTGATGGCATGTGCTCCCCTCCACAACCTGGAGTGAGGTGTTGGGGGCGTCTGCCGTGGTCTCACGGTACCCCCGCCGCAGCACCACGGAGCTGTCCGCCCGAGTCACAACAGAGCAGCCGCTCCCCCTCCCTCTGTACCCAGCACCCGGGTACGTACGTCGTCTTCCTTGGTGCCCCCCCAGAAGTTGGTCCCTCCGGCATAGCTGGGGATGTTGAGGACAGCGATGCCCTGGAGACTGGGCAGTGGGATGGGCCGCCCGTCACACTGAGCAGAAACGCAGGGCAGAAAAGGGCACTTGTCAGCAGGCAGGCCCACGGCCCCGGCCGGGCCAGTCAGCAGTGCTGTGCGCCGGCGAGGCGGGGCAGGGGCAAGCGGGTGAGAGACAGGCCACGGCCACAGTGCCGCCTTCCCTCACCTCCAGCAGGACCTTCTGTTCCAGGTTCCGGTAGGTTCTGTGCAGCAGCTCTTTGGTTCCAAGGACCCCGTACCACATCATATTCTTGGTTCGACTCCTAGAGACAAGCAGAGGCTTGGCAGGGGCCGCGGTGAGCCAGCTGGCCACCG